GATCCTTATCCAGGCAAAGCTGTGACACTGCGGCTACAGAGCAGCCAGACATGAAGGGAGGTGCGTAGACGTGGCGGGGTGACGGTGACTCAAGGGCCTGGCACACAGTAACCGTGGCGAGGTCTGGCTGTGCTACAAGAGGACACGGTGCATCCATCCCCTCATTCTGGTCTGGGGGGAACTTGAATACAAATGTGTAAGTCGCAATCCAGGGTTGGTGCGTTTTCATTGAGACGGGATTTTCCAGCGCAGTTTCCCTTAAGCGCTCAGTTCTGCAATCAGTTTTTTAAACGGTCCAGTTGCTGCTTCCAGGTATTTCTATTTTTGCTTTTGATCCACAAAACAGTCTTTGCATTGAGACCAGTTGCTTTTATTGATCAGTGGCTTTGGTAGTGCAGAATGTGACTGATTACAGCCACCGTCACTGTGAGCTTCCTCTGTGGCAGTTATTTCTACCCCATTCATCTTTCCTGGGCCCAAGCCTGCCAATCCAAGTGTTATAAATAAGTGTTACTGAGGAAATTTGGACCTGTCGTTACACTGCAATCAGTAAACATTGCTATTTTCAGTTCCAGCCATTACTGACTTGACTTTGTGGTAATGAATTTCTACCAAATTTTTTGTTCACCTGGAGCCGATGTTTAAAATTCTCAAAAACAAAATGTTAGCTTTTTCCTGCCATTTTCCCAGCCATGTTTGGGAAGCGTCAGTTTTATTTTGCTTTTATAAACTTTGTTTGAGGTCACAGTTTCACGTGCAGTTCTGAGAAATACTTCAGTGGGAGCCTGTGTCTTTCACCCCATTTCCTCCTTGATCATGTCTTGTAAACTGCAGCACCGTGTCCCTCTTATGACCCCGGCAAGGGTATAACCAAGGTCGGAACCTCCCCATTGTCAGAAACACCCCTCGCGTTTCCCATCCTGCTCCGCCACCCCTGCAGGCCTGAGTCAGCCCTGTGTCTATGACATCATCTCGGCAGCATTCTACAAACGGGCCACACGTTGTGAGCCTTTGGACACGGGCTGATTTCAGACAGCCTGGTTCTCTGCAGAGTCGTCCAAGTCTGTATGTAATGATAGCTGGGTCCCTTTTACTGGTGAGTAGTACCCCACAGTCTGGCTGAACCACCACCTGTTCAATCTTTCAGCCACTGAAGGACATCTGGATTAACACTGTTTGGTTGGTTTTTTCTTTTTGAGGTCATTATGAATAAAGCTGCTATAAACTCACGTATGGGGCTTTGTGTCAACATAAATTTGCATTTCCCTGGGACAGAGGCCCCCAGGTGGACCTGCTGGGTGGTGCAGCAGTGACGCCTTTTGTTTTTGAAGAAACCGCCCTTCTACTTCCTGGAAGCTGAGAAGCTGAACCCTATACTCCCCACCGGCAACCAGGACCGAAGATTCCCTGCCTCCCTGCTGGCCTTGGGGCTATGGTGCTTTCTCACTGTGTCATTCTGAAAGGACAGTGACGGCTATGGTGTAGCTTGTCACTGTCCTCCCAATGGGTTTCATAGAGCAAACACTGCTAATTATAATGAAGTCTAATTTTCCTTTTATGGATGTGCTTCTTGTGTTGAATTTAAGAACTCTCCACCAAGCCCTAGATCCTGAAGATTCTCCGCAGACTTTTCCTAAAATTTTGCATTATTGCAATTTACACGTAAGGCTGTGGAGCGTTTTCAGGTAATTCTTGTATAAGATGTGAGGTTTGGGATGACAGTCTCTCTATCCCTTGTAGATATCCACTGCCTACATCATCATTTGTTGAAAAAGTCCTTTTTCTGCTCAGGCTGCTTTCCTGTCTTTGTCGCAGGTTACAGTCTAACAGGCGTGTGTGGGTCTGTTTCACCTCTTCTGGATTCCTCTGATATGTGCCTCTCCTTTTATCAGGCTCACACAGTCTTGATTACTCTAGCTGGATAGCAAGTCCTGAAATTGAGGACACTGATTCCTCCCACTCTTTTAGAAATTGTTTTAGTGATGCTATTTCCTTTGCCTTTCCAGGTAAATCTTACAGTAACCTTTTCCGCATCTGCAAAACACCTGGCTAGGCTTTTGATAGGAACTGCAGAACACCTGCGTGTCGGTTTGAAGGGACCCTCAGCTTCATCACAGAGACCTTCTGATCCGCAGGCCCTGTCTCTCTCTGTTTCAGTTCTGCTTTGATTTCTTCCACTGACTTTTATAATTCTAGCTGACAAGTCTCCTGCAAGTTTGGCTAGATTCACAGCTAGGTATTCCTATGTTTCTTTTGATAGTAGCAGTGTTATATTTTTAAAGTTTTGGTGACAGGTATTCATTGATAATTATAGGAATGCTATTGATTTTATGTATTATATCTCCTCTCTCACTGAACTTGCTTATTAGTTCTCGAGGATTTATGTGGACTTCGTTGGATTTTGCTATATAAAAAACTGCTGGCAAGTAGGGATAGGTTTATTTCTTCCTTTCCAACCCACCGTCTTTTAATTCTTTTTGCCTTCCAGCACTATGGGGAAAAATGGTAAAAATGGACATCTCTCCTTGACTCTAGTTTGGGAGAATATTCAGGCTTTCCCAGTTTGGGTGTGGTCAGCTCTAGATCTCTCATAGGTGCTCTTTACCAGGTTGCAGGTTGTTCTTCTCCACCCCGGTGTTTCTGAAAGCGTTGCTCGTGAGTGGTACTGAGTTCTGGAAGGCGTTGCCTCTCTCTGTCCTGTGCGTGCCAGTGTGAGCACTCTTCTTTAGCCTCTTAATCACCGGCTACATGGCCACTCACTTCAGGGCAGTGGCTCTGCCTTCAAATCTTGGAATAAATCCTTGTGAGCTGTGGTACATAATTCCACATGCATACAGTTGTTTGCAATTGGCTAACATTTTGAAAGGATTTTATGACTATGTTCATGAAGGATATTCGTCCAGTTTTGCTTTCATGCTGCCTTTGTGTGCTTTGGTATTGGATACTACCAGCTTCATAAAATAAACTGGGAACTACTCCTCTCATCTGTTTTCTGGAAGAGGTCTGTAGAGGTGGTGTTGATTATTTTGCAAGAATTTGTGACATTGCTGGGTGGTCTCTGGGTCTCTGGACCTCCACAAACCCGAGGCTGGGAGGGGAGTGAGCATTTGGTGCTGCCCCCATGTGACACTGTTGGCACCTGGGAAGGAAAGGCTGCCCTGGTGCAGCCCGGTGAGGTGGCAGCTGAGGCCCCACCCTGTCCTTGGTGGTCGGACTGAGCTGGTGCTGCCGGTCTCTGGATCTTCCTCTCCAGGCCCTCTGGCTGGAGAGAGCTTTGGGGCTCCCGTTTCTTTAGCCCCCCTGGTCTGGGAGACATGAGGCGAAAGGAGAGCAGGAGCTCACCATGCTGAGGGCCTGGGACCTACAGCCTCCGCCAGCCCACCCTCTCCGCACCTGGGGAGTGTCCTCCGCCTGACCACGTGTAGTGTTCCGTTGTTGGTTGTCCTTGAGGATGGAGGCAAGTGGGCCTCGCTTCTGTCGGCTTTACTCTGCTCAGTGAGCTTCGAGGTATGTGAGAGGGACTCCCAGGTGGGGTCACACACTCACAGAGGCGGCGGAAGGCGACGGAGGCCCACGGGAACCTGACTGGGATGACAGTGGAGGCAGCCGGTAGACAGCGTCCAGGTGGGGAGAATGGAGGTGGCAGTGGTGCCCGGTCAGTGCCAGGAATGATACAGCCACGGCACCACACTACAGGGAGCAAGTTTGATCTTGGACACTGCCAAGCGCCTTCCCTGAGTTATTTTATTTAATCATGTCTTGCAGTGTGCCTTTGAAGTGTGAATTCCTTCCTATTACAGGGAGGAAACCGAGGCTTAGGGAAGAAACCTCCAGCCTTCATGCTGTGTATAGAAGAAATGCTAGGATCTCAGCCAAAGGCAGCACTGTAAGCATCCCCTGGGAACACCTGCAGCCTGCAGCGTGCAGCCAGAAGGTGGGACTGTCTTGGCGGGCGGCGGCGGACACGCTGGAACGTGGACACGCTTTTGAACAAGGGATCTCTGAATACCCGCGTGCGGAGGAGGAGGGGAGGCCTGAAGTAGGCCTTTCAGGGACGGCAGAAGGGGCTCAGGAGGAGGAAGACAGCAGGTGGGGAAGAGGGCCTGGCTTCCACCACAGGAGGAGACAGCGGGCTCACGCTGCCCTCTGTGCAGACCGCTGGTCCTCACCGTCCCCAGACCGAGAGACACAGCTCCCCAGGGTGCGTGTTCCCGTGCTCCCCCTTCCTCCTTGGTATCCGTGTTACGTTAGAGGTTTTTAAAAGAAAACATGGAGTGCTTTCTACAGACATTTTGGGACGCCGGGTAATTTGTTTAGCTGCTAGCTCCTTGTTTTTAAAACACCCTGCTGCTGAGTCATGCTGAGTCACACATTCCCAGCCCGGCGAGTTCATGTGCGGCAGACAGGGCAACGTCACAGATCTCCTTCAGAGGGAGCAGAGGGGAAGGCGAGGGAGCGGACCCCAGGAGGGTGTCGCTGTACAGACTGGAGAAGGCTTAGGGAACCTCTCAGGGACGCGGGGCAGGGGGCCAGTGTGCGGGGGACTGGTGCCTTGATTCTGCGGAGTGACCTGAGAAACAGGAGGGCGCTGTGGTGCCCGACGCTGGTCACACAGCTGTCTCTTCACATCGGGCCTTTTCAGAACCACTGGAATTGCAAAGTGCACCTGAACTCTCCAGGGGATGGCGTGTGCAGACGGCACCGGGGCCCCAAGCCTCCCTGCTCCAGGCGTCTCCTGCCCACCTCTTTTCTTTCCTCGATTTTCTCTGAGGGAGACGTCACACCGGCAGAACCGAGCTCCGTCCCAGCCTTGGCTCTCCCGCTCTCCACCGTGTGCCTCAGCAGCTTCGCTTCCCAGACTACTTGACAGAGATCAGTATTTTGTATTCAAATCAAAATTTATAGAGCGGGCAACTTTGCTAACACCCCAAATCACTCTCCCAACCTCTAAACAACACAGGCGAATCAATGAGCCAGTTCGTGAGAGGAAACGGCAGCTATTTTACATGCTTTTTAAAATCAACGCTCGTTTATGAGATTACAAACTGTAGCCGAGTGGCCCAAATGTTCTCTTCGGCCTCGGTTCTTCTCCGGAGCTGCTCTGCCGGCGGCTGGGCCCGGGTCTCCCTCGCACTGCAGCCGCCGCTGGGAGGCCCCCGGGTGCTGCCTGAGCCCCAGCCCGGGAGACCTGGCGCTGCAGGCCTGTGCCCTCGCGGCCCCGGAGATCTGCGCCAGCACCTGCACCTTCCTCTCCATAGCTTCCTCGATGCCCTCGACGTGGGCCCTCCCCGGTCGCTCCTCCTCGGCCC